GATAGAATATGGCGTATATGGGGTCTTATTATAGTATATCCAAAGCCATATTCTATCTACTTAAGGGGGACACTATAACCCAAAACCCTAAACCGCGTGTCATTCCCAAGGTATGGGGTCTAGTTGTTCCAAGACACTGTAGAATGTTTTCTCGATGCGCAGTGCGACCTAGTTATTCAAGGATTTCAGACTTATGTCAGCTTCGGACTGAAGTTAGGTTGGAGGGAACCTACAGGGAGATGGATATGTAGGAGGACCTATCAGGGAATATACTAGAACTTTAGTCCAGAGGTCACGTGTCTGTGGTTTGGGGCTCTGGGCTTGGAGGAGTAGAGCTCAAAGCTTTTCCACAAGGCAGCAAGAAGGTGGCGGGAGGGAGAAGTTGCTCTACATTTGTTTAGGAAGATGGGGGAGGTATTTCAGAATTCCATTAAATGTCCCCTGTCAAGGTCCAGATGAGCCCTTTTGGGGAGCTGTAGAAGCAGAACCCCAGAGTATCCTTCTAGGATCTTTCTTTCTACATGGATTCTCGGCACCTTCTAAGACTCATGGAAGTCTCATCCTGTGAAATGATCCAGACCCAGAACTTCAGACCTGATACGAAACCACATCCCCGCAACATTCCCCCAAGCCTGTGTGCAGCTCTTATGGGGCTTTCCCAAAGTTAGGGGTACCATTTTAGGGGTCCCCATAATAAGGATTATAGTATATTTGGGTCTATACTGGGGTCCCCTCATTTTGGGAAACTACCTTATTGAGCTCTGACACACACAGACACAGACACACACACACACACGCGCACACACACACACACACACACACACTGTCCGGTTTTGCGTGGAAAGTCTGGTCTCCATACATGAGACCTCCAGAAATACAGGAACTTGATGCTCCAGGTGTAATCCACACACATATGAGGGTTTCCAGAATTATTGGGGGGCATAGTCAGGATTGCAGTATATTCAGATTTCTTTTGGGGGCTCCATATCTATGTAAGATAGGATCCTTAAGGGCTCCCTACAGTAACCTCATCCTAAGCCTAAGGCCCCAGAACTTGGGCAGGCCAGCGAGGAGGAGGAGGAGGCCGGTCAAGACGGCAAGGATGAAAGTGGGCGAATGGAGGACGCAGCAGTAGGAGTTTTTTGCAAATAACCTCCATGTGAAAGCCTTTATGTATCCGATCCTCAGGGAAATTTGGGCATCATGATGGGGATCTGCAGCATTTTTGGGAATGCCCCTGAATGCACATTACAACTTGAGAAGTGCAGTCGTATCTGAAACCTAAACCCTAGGAACCCTAACCCCCAAAACCCTAGCCCTAAACCTTGAACACTAAACCGTAAACCACTCGTGCAGACGTAAAAGGTCCTCGGGGTTCAAAAAAAAACCGTAAACCCTCAACCAAGCAGGAGTACTTCTCGGAGCTCGACGAGCAGTTGGAGTCTGCGCTCGACGGGGAGACGGCCGGCCAGGAGGCTGCCAGAAGCCATGTTCTTGGGGGTTCTGGATATGAGCCTTTAGGGTTTAGGGTTTAGGGTTTAAGGTTTAGGGTTTAGGGTTTAGGGTTTAGTTTAAACTCCTGAAAGGGAGTATATAAGGGATTACATAGGGGACTTCTATGGGGGATATTAAGGGGGATACTGGGAGTTTAGATTTATGCCTCCTATGAGGCTTTCGGGGATAACGGTTAAGGGATTAGGGTGTAGAGTCTTGCTTGATTGATGTAAAAGCCCTAACCCCCAAAACCAAAACCCGAACCCTACATCACAAACCGCAAAGCCCTTTTTAAGAGTGACCATGCGCCCTGAGCCCTTCTCATCCCCTAAATATCCCCTATACATGCCCAATATATCCGCTATAAGCCCCTTGAAAGAGGCCACGGACAAGAATGATGCATTGCCGCTGAGCTCTCGTCACATCAAGGCCTTGCAGAAACTGGGAGACGAACTTGTGGATTTTTGTTTGGAGCTTATTGTTTGGGGCTCGGGGCTTGGGGTGTAGGGTTTAGGGCTTGGGGTTTAGGCTTAGGGTCTTAGGGCTTGGGGTCTAGAGGTAGGAGTTTTATGAACCAAAGTGGTAGGAAATTATGAGTAGACCATCATTCTGGGCCATCCAGGTAGGGGGGAAGGTCTACGGTCTATAGTCCCCTTGGGTAGATATTACATGGGGTATATGGGGCTCTTACTATGCTATACCCAAAGCCATATTCTATCTACTTGAGGGGAAATGTATTGTTCAGACCAAGGATTGGGGTGCATGGTTTAGTGTTCTGGATTTTAGGTCTAGGGCAACGGTTGCTTTCTAAGGCTTCGGAACATGCCTTGCTGCATAACAGGGTGTTGCAGAATCTTACGCTCAGACCTTTGTTGCTGAAGTGTCTGAGGTGCCGGAAGCAGCTTCGGATGTTGGCCGCATACCCACCCCGCATAAGGGATACCCATTAATATTACCACAAGTAACATCCTACAGCTTACACCCTAAGCCCTGAAGCCTGAACCCTAAGCCCTAAATCCTAGGCCCTAAATCCTAAGTCCTAGGCCCTAAACCCTAAACCCTAAACCTAAACCCTAGACCCTAAACTCTTGTCAATGACGTGAGGTGCATGCCTCTGACCCGCTGGAGCTAGACATGCACGCCATGGAGCACGCGCCAAGCTCAGACCCTTTGTGCAGTTCAGGGCTACTGTATTATATTAGAATGGAGTTATATGGGTGGTTGTAAAAACTATGGTCCCTTTTTGGGTACCCTAAATATGAGGTGCTAATAGGGATCTAAAAAGGGACCATAATTTTGACATGGAGTTATGTGAGCCATAATCTAAACTTCTTTAAGGGGGTTTATGTAGGGGATCATATAGGGGAGTATTATAGGGCTTACTAAGGGGGATACTAGGAGTTTAGACTATGGCTCATGTAGGGGTTATATGATAGAGGTATAATATTGCGGGTTATATTGGGATGACGGAAGATAAACATGGAAGCTCGTATGTTAATAGGATGTTTGGGGAGTTCAAGGCTTTGGCCTTAGGCTTGTGTTGGCACTACATTCTACAGGTTGGTGGGCTGTTTGTACAGTACTTCCTGGACCCCATAGCAAATTTCAAGGCATGCATTCCCTGCGCTCTGGGCTTGGAAATGGCTACTGTACCACCTACGTGCAGCATGCTGCCCAGCGGGCCTTGCTAGAACTTACAGTCCTCAGTCTCAGACTTCAACCCTTCAGGATGGCATTTTATTTTGTTAGAATCAGACAGGTGGGTCTCAGTCCTGGGGTGGGTGTAGTATGCGCATTTGTCGAGTTTGCCTTGGCTTTTGTTTGGAGCTGTGTGTGTTTAGGAGCGTATCTGTCAGGAACGTATGCCAGCTTTGTGTACTAGGCCGGTACCGCATTGCTAGACTTTGTCATTGGGCTTCAGTGCTGGCATCCGACTTCGTTGCATTCAGCCTGCATGGAGACAACAAATCTGCGCCAGTTCGTGCGCATGATTTGGATGGCAGCATTGTTGCCGTGGACGAGTTTCAAGTTGCTTCTGCCCTTCTTGCCGGTGAGCTGGACATCCTGAATCAAGAGATTGACTCACAGCATTTGTTCACGCTTTGCTGCCGGTTTGGCCTCTACGGCACGGCCGCACCCGTGGAATAAGTGGATGCGTGTTGGAGGCGATACACCTTGACCCTTTTTGTGCTCCTGCCAACCCGTGGAGACTTGGAACTTCGCGCCATGATTGTACGTGCGGTGGAAGCGGGACAGCCTGTCGGAGCTGTTGTTGGGGTTTCGACTCCCGCTCAGGCGTGTGGATGCCAGATTGGCCTTGTGACTTAGAAGACTCGGCATGGCAGGCTTCCAACATGGCCGGGCAGCCAATTTTCCGCGTGGTGTCCCATGCTTTCCGCTCCGGCAACGCGTTGCCACATTGCAACATCACAAAATGTGCCATTGCTCGCTTGATTGACATAGCTATTCTCACGGTTGACGCAGAACTGGCTGCTATTTTCGCAGCACGTTCAGACTTTCGACCGTTGAGAAGGTGGATGTGGCAAGACCTCATCAATGTTGACCTTGGCGCACGCAAGAGAGTCTGCAGGTTTCCAACCCCAGGATCATCCAGGCAGCAGTTGCTGCAGGAGCAAAATTCAGCAGCCTCGTGGGGTGTCCCACTCTATATCAACTTCCCTTTCGGGAAGCTCTTGCCATGTGCGACCGAAGCAGAAGCCATTGGCAAGTACCTGCGCGAAAAGCAAGTGGGTGAGCAGTCAAGAAAAATTCTTCAGCGTGAGGAACAGGAAAAGGCCAGCCTTTTCACCCTAAACCCTAAACCCTAAACCGCGATCACAAGGCTAGTCTTTCACTGCAGTTCCTCATAGCTGCGATACAAAACGATTCTAATCCCGGCGCTGTCGACGGATGGCATCTTGGAGCTCCTGCGGTAAATACGATTCACTAGTCCATAAGGAATTCCGGTTCAACTCCACCCTCGGTTTGAGTACTAGGTAAGACTACTTCAACCATGCGTAAACGGAGCTACAGGCAAGCACTTCAAACTAAACCTTGAGCCCTGCAGGCTAATCCCACCAGCCCTCCACCGTCGCTTCCCAAACCAGAAGCCGCAAACCCCAAAAGCACTTAACACATATTGAGGCCTATAAATGAGTGGAATAGGGTTTTGGGATGTTAGTACAGATAGCCATTTAGGGGACATGAAAAAGAATTCCCATTCCTTTTAACCACGAAGCTCAAATGGTAGTTTCCCAAAATAAAGGGACTCCAATATCGACCCCAAAATCTTTAATCCCTATTATAAGGACCCCCCAAAAAGGTACCCCTAATTTTGGGAAACCACCAAATCCTAAGCTTGCTTCTGAAGCAGCAAGGTCCTGGCATCGTTCTGTTCGGAGCACCAGCTGGAGCTTGATTCTTACTCAACTCCCTGGTGCTTAGTAAGGAATGGGGGAATGGATCCCTATAGCAGTCCCTTTATAATCCCCAAATTTAATTCCTACAATCCATTCCCCCATTCCCTCCTAAGCGCCAGGGAGTCAACTCGTTGTGTGTGATTCGTGTCTAATGTATGGGGTTAGGAAATTACAACGGGCTTAGGGTACATTCTGCGACAGTGGGTAAGGATGATAGACCCCAAAAAATATTATAGTCCTTGTTATGGGGACCCCAAAAAGGTACCCCTAATTTTGGGAAGCCTTAAACCCTATAATTTATCCCTATATAACCCCTATTAGCCCCTTTAAAGGTACCCCTAATTTTTGGGAAACCCTAATCCCTAAACCCCAAATATCCATAAAAAATCATTATTATCCCCTTTAAAGGTACCGCTAATTTTGCGAAACCTCTAGATTATTCTTCTAGCTATCCAGGATCACCTTAAACCTCCAGCTTCGGCATAAGTAGGATAGTTACGGTCAGGCATCAGCCAAGGGTTTAGGGTTTAGGGTGCCTAATTATGCCCTTTCCCCTTTCTGGTTGAGGGCTTAGAGGTTTGCTTGCTTGCGATCTTGGCTTTTCCAAATGTGCATGACGAAGGCTTAGGGGTTGAGGGTTTAGGGTGTAGGGCTAGACCTTAGGAGGACCCCCCCACCCTGTAATAGTGGTATAATAGGAATCTAAGAGGACCCTAATATAATCCTTATTATCTCTTATAGCCACTATTACAGGGTGGGGGGTCCACCTAGTGTATAATGCAGGATCCAGCCCAGCAGTCGTCAAGGCCCCCAGCAT